TCTCTGTTATGCGCAGAATCGGTCCATAAATCTAAAATATGTTATGTAAATGTAAATCTAGAATTTAAAAAAAAGTCCAATTTATAATATTAATGTTAAGGTTTAGCTAAGTGTTTTGATTTACTAAAATATAAATAATGATGCCTTTAGTTGTTATATTCATTATGCATCAACTCTATAGTTATTAAGATAAATATTTTAGTTATTATTGTACAAGTTAATTACAACCTGAAATTCGCTAATGTTATGTAATAAGCCGAGGACGGCTTAATTTTCACGATGGAGGTGTTGAGAATTGTGTTCTTTATAATTATAAATAATAGTCATAAGTAAATTCCTTTGAACGATGTCCCAAATAACGGTAAATGTTGCGAATATTTTGTACATCTGCCAGACAACCCTTAATAAAAGTTTATGATAGCTCATGTACCTTCGGCGAGCTATCATAAAACTAGAAATATTGGAAATATTTTAAAAATGTGAAAATATAAGTTAGTTAGTCCTGAACTCTTGAACAAGCAACAACTGAAATATTATAATAAAGCGATAAATAAATTTTTGTATCTAAATAAATTCTTTGATTTCACACACTTCCCGAAGAGCTACAAATGTTCCAATTCTCGTATTCAAAAGTATTCAAAATAAAACCCTAATCTACTCAAGAATTATTAAAAATTGGTTAAATTTAATTATTAATTAGTAAATTGATTACTAACGTCTCTTCATATATATATATATATATATATATATATATATATACACAAATGTATGTAAACATATACATAAGCAAATATATATATATATATATATATATATATATATATAAAATATATATATATATATATATATATATATATATATATATATATGATTTAGTAGTTAATTTTGATGTTGAAATATATGAGTGAGTTCTTGAGGGCGATACATCAAACAAAGAAAAGGCAAAGATTTATAAAATAATCTTTAATTCCAAACGTTTCGACATTCAATTTAATGTCATCATCAGTGGATATTGAACATAGTATTTTGTATCTAAAAATGTGTACACATCACAGAATTTTGCACTAACATTGATACAACCAGCCAGTCGATAATCATGAATTTTTTTAGTAAGAAAAATGAGAGTTTTGTTTTGCAAAACTGTGAAATTTTTTTTTAAGTATTATTGCACAGACCAGCTATGTTATCTCTACACAACCCGAGGCCAAAGTCTGACGTTTGGAATTAAAGATTATTATATATATATATATATATATATATATATATAATATATATATATATATATATATGACATAATATATATATATATATATATATATATATACTAGCTGACCCGGCAAACGTTGTTTTGCTAAATAAGGTATATTCTAGACGATTTCTAGAGAATCAAAAATATTAATACTTTAAGTGTATAAGGATGTGTTGTTTGAATGCTATATACAATGAAGTATTATAAAAACAATAAACCCCATTGGTTTATCTATATTTTGTCAATACAATCAAACTGGAAGATTTATACACTTTCTATAGGAAACAGTATAAACCATCCAAGTCTTTTTTGGTCTTTCGACTAATTGATTACGTTTCAAGTTTTTCATATTGTTTTTGGATTCTGGATTTTGTGTATAATTGTAAATAATACTACTGAGTTTATACAAAATTTTCAAATTTTTGCGAGGAGAGATAGAAAATAAATATTTAAAATTCAAAAAAATATTTCTTTTTTTACCTGCTTTTTGAAAAGTTTCAAAAAGCAGGTAAAAAAAAGTAAATTTTCGGTGAAAAAAAGTAAATTTAATATAAAGTATATATGTAGAGCAGGGCGAGGCACAAAGGTCCAATTTGACTTTGAGCAAATGTAAACTATATTGTGAAAACCATAACAATTATATCACAGCAAATAACACATATCAAACGAACAATTATCTGAGTTCAATAAATTGCCTTCTGCTTCATCATTGTAGAAATGTGCTTTTTTGCCGTCTTTCAAAAATTTGTTATCTAGACCTTTTTACCCTGTAGGCGGGGTAACTTGAAACGGGCAGGTGGCAAAAAGATTTAAAGCCTTATTATAGTTTTAAAGGTATTTTACAAAATAATTACATTTTTAACTAATGCTTAAAAACTACCAAAGGAAGAAAAGACTTTTATTATGGATTCTCAAAGATTACCGTTTATCTCCCCCATTTCAAAGATTACCGTTTTCAAATCAAGCTGGTAGCTGGCTATACATCTTTTCTCCTCTACTTTCAAATATTGTTGTTAAACAATGCTTAACTTTACTGATTTTTGACAAATCGGTGGTTGGCCTTTTTAACCCCGGACCTTCATATATTACTATCTATTCTGCGATAAATTCTGGGAAATTATAACTGGAAAAATGTTATTCGACAAAAGGTCCATTTGATCGATACCAAAAGGTTCTGAATTTAAATAACATAAATAAAAAATAATATAACCTAGAAAATGTTTTATAAATACCAATGAGCATATAATTATACAAATAAGATCTTTCAAAGCACCGTGTTTGAGAAAAATATGCCAAAAATGCATTTTCATATTAACATATCAAAAAAGTTTATATTTTGAGTCTCTAGTAACACTTGGGGCCCGTTTACTAACGTTTTTGTATATAAATAAAACTACAAACAAAACTACTTACTACAAATTTATCACAAATAAATAATATTCGCGTAAAACATCCTATTAAACGAATTTGAACATCATCTGTCAAAAGCGTTTGACATTTCACGAAATTGCCACCGTCCATTGTTCTATTTAAATTACGCTTCTACAAAAATTTTCAAATTATAAATGTAAAGTTTCTACGCGGATTTGAAATAATTTCTCACCTTTTGGACATTCTCTGGATTGGCACGAATTTTTCAAGACTAAGACTGGCCAAATCGATTCAGCCGTTTCCGAGTTTTATTCGGACATTTGAAAGAGAGCTCCATTTTTATATATAAGATATATATGTTACGGTAAAAATGCATATTTCGGCAAATGTACACATTTCCCGGTAAATGTACACATTTGCCGCCTAAATTGGAGAATGTGAGTTCAACTCACATTTTCCATTTGAAATCAGGTAAATGTGCATTGAACTCACATTTATCGTGCCGTTTTGGGAAATGTGAACATGAAAATTTAAAATAGCTTAGTGCCTTAGTGCGAATGCACGCTTGGAGTGGTTGCATGCGGGCTCGTATTTGGTACGTGCGCACTAGTATATGGCGCACATCACGCGAATTTGGCGCTTGCGCACTCATGTCTGCGTGAAGTACGGTAGGCAGTTAGGCACATACAAATACTTTGCGTTACAAATTTTGTGCTATTATATATTAATAAAGTTATAAATAAATTATATAAATTAATGAAAGTATAGCAGACGTATGAATATTATTTAAGGTATTTGGATAAATAAAAATCATGTAAGTTAAAACGATCATATAGTTTTTGAGAATTATGTATTTTATAATTATAAATAACATATTATAATATTTTGAACTATGTTTAGTCATAAGTAAATTTATTTGAATGAAGTGTAATCCTAAGTAACGGTAAATGTTTAGAATATTTTGTACATCTGCAAGACGACGCTTAATAAAAGTTTATGATAGCTCGCTTGGACCCTCGGCGAGCTATCATAAAACTAGAAATATTGGTAAATATTTTAAAAATGTAAAATATAAAAGTTAGTTAGTCCTGAACTATTGACCAAGTAACATTAAAAATATTTATAAAGTAAAAAACAGAGCACAAATTAAATCAGTACATCAAAAGTAATTCTTTCATTTCACACACTGTTGAAGAGCTATAAAGTGTTCCAATTTTCAGTTATCCAATATTAATCCAGAATTCGAGTGATAAAAAGTATTCAAATAATAAAAATTGGCAACATTGTAATTAATGTAGTAAATCCATTTACTAATGTCTCTTCACATTTTATGTTACAGATTTTGTGCAAGTGCTATATTGTAAATGGATAATATCTTATAGAAGATTTCTGGATGTTATTTAAGATACTTAGAGAAATAAGACTGATGTAAGTTAAAATGATCCTACAGTCATATACCGATACAGTTTATTTTATGTTACAGATTTTGTGCAAGTGCTATATTATTATAAATTAATAATATCATATAGAAGATTTCTGGATGTTATTTAAGATACTTAGAGAAATAAGACTCATGTAAGTTAAAATGATCCTACAGGTATATTCCGATACAGTTTATTTTACGTTACAGATTTTGTACAAGTGCTATATTATAGATTAATAATATCATATAGAAGATTTCTGGATGTTATTTAAGATACTTAGAGAAATAACCCTCATTTAAGTTAAAATGATCCTACAGTTATATTCCGATACAGTTTATTTTACGTTACAGATTTTGTGCAAGTGCTATATTATAAATTAATAATATCCTATAGAAGATTTCTGAATGTTATTTAAGATACTTATTCAAATAAGACTGATGTAAGTTAAAATGATCATAATTATAGATTTAAAATTTTAGTTTAATCTACAATGAAACTTTTTTTTAGTTAGAATTTGTGACAGACAATGGAACAAAAAGATAAATTTCTAAACCAACTAGAACGAATTGTATCACAAAAAAACAAAAATAATATTTATTTAAACCAATATCAGTATCAAAAATTATTATTGGAAGTGAAGGTAGGAAAATCCAAAGTAAATAATAAAAGCGATGTAGATTACCGCCGGCTGAAAAGGTACGACATAATAGTGGTGGGGAAAGAAGAAAAATTAATCAGTCCTTTAAAAGAATCGGATGGCATAAAATATTTTGCAACAATTGAAGAAACATATGAAATTATATATGCCGAAACAGATTATTGAAAGACATCAATAATAAATACAACAACATCACTACTGAAGCCATTATGCTGTATTTGTCTTTATGTGAAGCGTGCCAAAAAAGGCAAGGGGCATCAAAAAAGGAATTGTGATCAAACCAATTTTGATGAACGAAATGAATTCCAGATGTCAAGTAGATTTAATAGATTTACAGACACAGCCAGATGATGAATTTAAATTCATTTTGAATTATCAGGATCATTTAACGAAGTTTGTAGTATTGCGCCCACTAAAATCAAAAACTGCCTTAGAAGTAGCCAACCAGCTAATGGACATTCTCAGCCTTTTGGGAGCCCCATTCATTCTTCAATGTGACAATGGTAGGGAGTTTGCCAATAGAATTATTGAAGAATTGGCAAATATGTGGGATGGTATGAAAATAATACATGGAACACCTCGGCATTCCCAAAGCCAGGGTTTAGTAGAACGTGTAAATCAAGACGTGCAAAATATGCTTACGACCTGGCTTATCACTAACCAAACAACCAAATGGTCGGAAGGTTTGAAATATGTCCAGCTTATGAAAAATAGAGCAAATCATGAAAGCATTAAGCAATCTCCCTGTGAAGCTATGTTTGGATCAAAGATGAAATTGGATTTGGAAACATGTAATTTGCCTAAAGATTCCATTCAAGAGGTCGAAACAGAAGAGGAATTGGAAACATTGATACAAGAAGTACACATAGCGAGTTCTTTACATAGCAGAGTCAGTGATACTTTAGATATAGAAGCTGAAGATGATGAAATTAAATATGAGAATAATGAAATTTTGGAGTTAGATTGCATATTAAGCGACCACAAAAAATTAATCGATGATGCTCGAAAAAAAGCTAGAGATAATTTAGAAAGCCAGGCTATAAAAATGTGCAATTTTTCCAAAGATAAATTTCCTCCAGCTGTGATTGGTGACAACGTTCGAGTATCAATTCCTGACATTGATCGTGGCAAAACAGATCCGAAAAACTTAATATGCGTTGTTTTATCAAAAGATGACAACACAGATTTGTACAAATTAGGAATTGAGGAGGGAGTTTTAAAACAATCTTATTCCAGAAATGAGTTCGTTGTTTGCGAACAAAAGTTTTTATCAGGAGAGGAAATTTCTCAAGATGTTCAGAAATCCCTTAGGGAAATTGTCGGACAGCAGTCTCTTACTGGCGGACAAGGATTTAAAAAATGCACATGCAAAGGAGGATGAAAATCAAGAAAATGCAGTTGAAGAAATGCTGCAATATTATGTAATTCTAAGTGCCATAATAGTAATTCTTGCACAAATAAATGAACATCAGTTTATAATTTTTGTATGATTTTTTTTTTTTACAAAACTTATATTAATTCTTTTAATAAAGAAATTATGTTATGTTATTTATTATTGTTAATTGTTAAATTATGTTATGTTATTATGTTATGTTTATGTTATTTTATTATTTGTATGATTTCCGAACGATCTTGTCTGATTAATACAATAGTACTGGAAAACTAGAACGAAAATTTTATTTATAAATTTTATTATAACCTATTATTATTTTATTATAACCAAATATTATTTACTTTCATAAAAAACTATTTTATATTTTGTTTTAATTTAATTACTTTTATAATTTTTATTATAATCTAACAATATAAAATTCACGCTTTAATGAAAAAAGTTTGTTGTTTTATTATTTCTTGGATGTTGTATCATATCGTTTTTCGGATTATTTTAGTTCTGAGAAACTAAAACAAGAATTTTATTTATGAATTTTATTAAAACCTATTATTATAGGTTTATTTTAACAAATTATTTATCATAACCAAATATTATTATAACCTGTTTCATGTCATAACAAATTATTTTATCATAACCTAAATAATCTGTTTGTCATTTATATCTTTTAATTAAAATTATTTTTGTTATTAAAACCTTTTGCATTAAGTTTATTTTAATAAGTAATTTTTAACTGTCAAGCTCTTTAATTTGTTATTTGTGTTCCAACTTTTTTCAAAACAAATTTAAAAGTGTAAGTTATTATATTTTATAGGGTGTACATTTGCAAAAACACAATGGGAACTGTACACATTGACCGGGAAATGTACATTCGCACTATATTCAGTTCAAATTTACATAGCGTTTTGGAAAATGTGCATATTCTCCGGTAAAATTCACCAAAAGTGCACTTTTACCGTAACATATATATATATATATATATATATATATATATATATATGTAGCGGGTTGTTAACACGCACCGCATTTTGCTGTAGCAGCTTGTCAACACGCATCGCATTTCTACTGGACAGATAGGCTCATATAGTGACAGCACGGAGAAAACAAAAATAAATTCAAGTGTCAGATCTGACCTGGCTTTTGTTTATCCCTAGTCTCATTGCCAAAATTAAAATTCTTGAAACCTTTTCTTTTTGATTGTAAATAAGTAAATACCAACTATATTTTATAAATGATAAATATGATAACACATGGTGTCGTCAATACTAATCATACATAAAATAAACAAAGTATAAAACATAATATTTCATGAAATTTATTATTGTCTACAATTCTGGTATTTAATATGGACTACTCATCCATATTTTGGTGACCCCCGAGAGTGAACAAGTAACACACATAAAAGAAGGTAAGAAGATCAAGACATATACTGAAGTAACAAAAAAAATAAATTGAAGTCTTATGAATTATGAAGAAAAGAATTTTTAAGGATATAAATAATTAATATAAATGGCTCACAACTGCCATAACTCGAAGAACATTCTAAGCATACAATTGAGACTCCGAGCACGCACTTCGAGATCAACAACAACACGTGCTCAGTAAATCACTTATTATCCTGGTAAATAAGTCGATAATAAGCACCATGGCAGCAGACAGGGAGCATCAGCAAACAATTTGGCAACCGCCATATACACTTAGCCGCTAACTCACCAGGAAGGGCCACATACACTCAACCGCTAACTCACCAGCGAAGGGCCACATACACTCAACCGCTAACTCACCAGCGAAGGGCCACATACACACAACCGCTAACTCACCAGCGAAGGGCCACATACACTCAACCGCTAACTCACCAGCGAAGGGCCACATACACTCAACCGCTAACTCACCAGCGAAGGGCCACATACACTCAACCGCTAACTCACCAGCGAAGGTATACTCAGCCGCTTACTCGCCAGCGAAGGGCCACGTAAGCAATCAACCAACTCACCAAGCTAACACGGCAGTCAAAACGGTCACGGCCACACACAAATAAAATTAATCACACAATCTCAACCAAAAAAATTACAAGGAAATTCAAAATGGCAGTCAGAGATGCGAAACAATCTTTTTCATTGGGGCGGAGTGATGTAGCGGGTTGTCAACACGCACCGCATTTTGCTGTAGCAGCTCGTCAACACGCATCGTATTTCTACTGGACAGGTAGGCTCATATAGTGACAGCACGAAGAAAACAAAAATAAATTCAAGTGTCAGATCTGACCTGGCTTTTGTTTATCCCTAGTCTCATTGCCAAAATTAAAATTCTTGAAACCTTTTCTTTTTGATTGCAAATAAGTGAATTCCAAGTATATTTTATAAATGATAAATATGATAACACATGGTGTCGTCAATACTAATCATACATAAAATAAACAAAGTATAAAACATAATATTTCATGAAATTTAATATTGTCTATAATTCTGGTATTTAATATGGACTACTCATCCATATATATATATATATATATATATATATATATATATATATATATATATATATACTTTAAACACACACACAAATACACATAAAACATGAAAATGAAATATAAGTAAAAGCTTAATTATGTAACACATAAAAGTACAACCATACACATATACAAAAAATACATGTATGTATGTATATAAAAACAAAATTAGAGTAAAACAAAAAAAAAAACATAAAATGTTACAAAAAGAATGAGTCTTGACAGCAAGCGTAGTAAAAAGTCCTGTTTCAGTGTCAAGACTCATTCTGTTTGTAACATTTTATGTTTTTTTGTTGTTTTACTCTAATTTTGTTTTTATATTCACACATACATATATTTTTTGTATGTGTGTATGGTTGTACTTTTATGTGTTACATAATTAAGCTTTTACTTTTATTTCATTTTCATGTTTTATGTGTATTTGTGTGTGTGTGTGTTTAAAGTTATATATATATATATATATATATATATATATATATATATATATATATATATTGGTTGTTTCGTACAGTTGAGTCCGAAATTGTCAACGATTTTCTCCACTTCGAAAATATTAAAAACAATAAACATTCCACTAACCTAAAACAATCTTACAAAAATAAATTTAACAAATTATTACAAAATAAAATAGAACATAGTAAAATAACTTTAGATGAAAACGTCATCAACAAATGGCAAAAAACTTCTCATCTATTGAGATCCCAGATAGACTTCGATACATTTTTGCATTAGGCCCCAATTTTGCTGTTCCCAACTGTCCTAACAATTTTAATTTCATTAAATTACTCTCGAACTTAGAAAATGGTTTGCAACAAATTAAAGATCCTAAACAGAAATCTCATACCAGAACCCTTTTTTGCAAAAAATTTATTTCGTACATCAATTCTTTCAATATAAAAAATTCGAATTATACTGACATTCTTAGAGATCTCAAAAGTTGTAAATTATTTTTAAAAAACCATCCTAACATCATCGTGACAAGAGCAGACAAAGGAAACGTCACAGTTATTCTTGACAAAGAGGACTATTTACAAAAAATTACTGAATCACTCTCGGACGACAGTACCTACACGACCATAAACAACGACCCAACCGAACACATTAACCGCTCCTGTCATAAACTTCTAGACAAATTAGTTACCAATAAACAAATCACAAAAGATACAGCTACAAACTTAAAAAATTTACACCCATACTTTCCAAGATTATACGGCCTTCCTAAAATACACAAAACAAACCTACCTTATAGACCGATTGTTTCAGACATAAATTCTCCACTATACAAATTATCCAAGTACATTAGTAATATCTTAACAATAATAACAAAACAGTCCCCATATTACATTAAAAATTCCTTCGAGCTTGTCAAACTTCTTAATAATATTTCCATTCCCAATAATTATAAACTAATTAGCCTAGACGTTATATCCCTATTTACAAATGTCCCACTAGACTTAATACTAGACGCCATCACCAGCAGATGGAGTGAAATTAGCCTTCACACCACATTATCTTTACATTGGTTTAGAGAAATCATCAAATTCATTGTCTCTAACACCTATTTTGAATTTAATGGATCATTTTATTACCAAATTTTTGGCACCCCAATGGGATCTCCCGCATCTCCGTCTTTAGTAGAAATTTCCTTACAATTAGTAGAAAACAAAATTTTTAATAATTATAACAAACAAATCTTTTATTACCGATATGTAGACGATATCATTACTTGTATTCCGGAAGAAGACATTAACATATTTACTGATAATTTTAACAATTTTAATAAAAAACTACAGTTTACCGTAGAATTAGAGACAGTGAATTCGATTAGTTTTCTAGACATCAGACTAATACGTACAAATGACCACCGACTAATTACTAACTGGTACCAGAAACCAACTAGCTCCGGACGATACATAAATTACCACTCATACCACCCTCTTAAAATGAAAATAGCGACAATAATAAATTTAACAGACCACGCCATATTACTATCTGACAAAAACTTCTGGGACACGAACATTGACCTGGTTATAAACACACTGAAAAACAACTCATATCCTACGAACATAATCAACTCGGTCATAAATAACAGACGCAGTTACATTTTTAACAAACAAAAAGACCTCACAGACCATAAAAACCGTTTAGACTTAGAATCATATACTGGTGTCATTTGCCTACCGTACGTAAAAGATTTATATTTCTCGTGGAAAAATTATTTCAACAGTGTGGCATTCTGTTGGTATGTAATTGTGATGCAACCCTTAGTTCAATTTTTACACAAATGAAATCTAAGTTCAATTTTGACCGGCTCAGGAATTTAGTATATCAAATTAATTGCTCTAATTGCGAACTCTTTTATATTGGAGAAACTAGCCAAAACCTGAGTAAACGCCTTAATCAACACAAAAATAATTCAAAAAATCCCAAACAATTTAAAACAATGTTAACTGAGCATATTAAAATTTAAATCACAATATCG